GATAGGAATTATATGTTTAATCAACACTTAACGAAGACAGACAACAACCTCAAGCTCATCTGACGTTGACGGTGGTCAGCCTTTGTCAGAGATTTTTTATTGTCCATGTTTTTCTCAGTTTGAGTCTTTTAAAGTCTCAGTTTGCTGAGTAGCAGAACCTTGTTAACAAAACAGGCTATAAATCTGCAATGGCCATGTATGTTAGGACATTGTTTTCCTTCTTTACCACTGTGTAAAAGAGGCTACATTGATGTTATAAAACAGTTTCACATCTTCTGTCTTTGCTCTGTCTGCTTCCTATTTGGACTGATCAAACAGAAATTGCCAGAAAAGCACTAATAAATAACTCCTTGAATTTTTCATTTTTCCAGTTGTGGCCAGTGGTGATGCTGGGGTGAAAAGGTCACCTATAATCCATCTGTGGAAAGGCAGAACTTATGAGGTAAATCCCTGTCTTGTCTCACACAGATGTTCATCCTCTGTTGAGGCTGAACTGGGTGTTTCTCTTTCCCACTTCCTGTTATTTCCCTCACTTAACACTTATTTATAACAGCCGGTGAATCAGATTGGATTGATTCAATATCAGTGTCAAAGAATGATATTTCTTTGTATAAAATTTCTTGTTTCAGTGGTAAAACATTTTGCCAAAAGTATGTGGACACCCAAACACCCACCCATTTGTGACTGCTGCTATAACAGCCTCATTCATCTGAGAAGGCATTCCACAATATATCAGAACATGGCTAGGAAGGTTTGCTCCCAGTCCAAATGTGTTTCCCAGTCAGCCAAACTGGGAATCACAAAGTTGGGAGCAGAGTATCGTCTCTAAAATACCAGTGTATTGGAATTATGGGGCCTGAACAGAACCATGAGAAACAACAGTAGGTCAAAAGGATGCAACATTATTATTTTTATTATTTTATATAATTTTTATTTTTAGTTATTTAAATTCTTACATCTGTCCACATCTGTTTATTCTGTCCTTCTCTCAGGACAGTGTGCAACCAGTTATAATAAAGGAGGAGGGACTGGAAGCGTTTGCTGACCAGGTGTCTTCTGAGTCTGGTCAGTGCAGAGACGAAATAGGCCACGACGATGATGACGACCCAGACTACCAGGTGGATTTTATCAGTGCCTCAATACTTGTCTGTGTGTCTGTTTATAAAATAATTTTACTGCTCCTGCCTTCTAGCCAGACTATTGTATGGAATGTATGGAATAAACATCAACCCACCATGACCAAAAAAAAGAAAAGTAAAAGTGAGTTAAAGGAAATGAATTAACAAACTGTAGTTTTTTTCTGTTAGTTGGAGCTGGAAGATCTAGATGATGGTGAAGCAGGATACACCTCCAGACCTAAACGTGTAGTAAAGTCCAAGTCCACACGAGGCCGAGCAAAGAAAGAGGGTCAGAGTCAGAGCCAGCAGCCTCTGAGCTGCAGACACTGCAGGAAAACCTTCACCAAGCTGCTGCAGCTCAAAGCCCACCAGGCCGTCCATGGGGCGAACACTGAGAAGCCCTTCCACTGCTCCCAGTGTGGCCGAGGGTTTTCATTCCAGCGCAGCCTCAACGCACACATGCTACTTCATACAGGTGAGTGTTCAGCTTTATGTGAGATAAACCATCTGACCTGACATCTTATCACCATATGAAGCTGTCATGGTGATCGTGTTGTTGTGACTCAACCACTAAGTGAAATAGGTTAGGACAAAAAAAAAAAAAGCTAAACCTGCAGAACACTGTGATAATTCTCCACTCATAAAAATGCTTATTAAAGCAGATTTAAAAAGCATATAACCTTTGATGCCTGGAGTTACAATACTCATTTTCCCATGTACAGGTGAGAGGCCACACACCTGTGATGTGTGTGGGAAGGGTTTCACCTTGAAGCAGCTTCTGCGGAACCACCAGCGCCTCCACGCTGAGGTCCGTCCATTTCGCTGTGACCAGTGCGGGAAGAGCTTCTACCGAGCGCACGGTCTGAAGATGCACCAGATGGTCCACACCGGGGAGCGGGCCTTTAACTGCCAGTACTGTAACAAAAGCTTCACAATACAAGGTAACCTGCAGCGCCACCTGCGCATACACACAGGGGAGAAACCCTTCAGGTGCGAGACTTGTGGCAAAAGCTTCAACCAGGCCGACACTCTGAAAGGCCATCAGCGGATACACACAGGTGAGCGTCCCTTTAGCTGCGAGACCTGCGGCAAGTGTTTCATCCAGAAGAGTGCCTTGAAGATGCATCAGAAGACCTCTCACTCAGGTGAGAACTCACTGGCCTGCGTGGCGTGCGGCACTACGGTGGCCTGTGTCGACTCGCTGCGCAAACACCTCCAGACACATGCGGCAACTATCCCGTGCACATGCGTGCTCTGCGGCCGACGGCTCAGCTCCATCACTGACCTGCGCTCGCACCAGCAGCACCACACAGTGGACAGACCTCACAGCTGCGGGCTCTGCGGGAAGAGCTTCAAGTCGTCCAGTTACCTGAAGATTCACCTGAAGACACACAGCGGGGAGAGGCCGTTCTCCTGCGACATCTGTGGTCGCATGTTTACACAGCACAGCAGCCTTAAATCACATCAGGTAGGTTTACACTGACTATCGTTTTCATAATAGAGAGGTTCAACAAAATTGTCTCGTGAGGAGAAAATACACCCCCTTCCCTGTCCTTTGCTGTTGGCATGAGAACAAAAATATGTTGCTTGTCTGTAACAACATCCATGTTTGAGCAGCTCAAAAGTTCTAAGTGAGACTCAGTTCCCAAAAAAGAGCATTAGTCAGTCAAAGACCTTGTGTAAGACCTGCAGCTTAGTAGCTGGTGAAGTGAAATCCAGACGCAAATGTTACAAATAAAATAAAAGAACATGTAAAAAATTATGTACATTTCATATGTTGACATATATGTCTATCCCATACAAATATGCATGTTTATGTATGTATGCTTATAGACATATGTTACATAAATATATATCCATCCCAAAGCCTGTCAATATATTTTTATATTATGTACAGTAGGGTCCAAAAGTCTGAGATAACTTTCCCAGAATGTGAAGATAGGCATGTTTAAAAGTAACATTTAACATATATGGTCACAACATGTTATACCATATAAAACTTCATCAGAGATGTTTTAAATATTTTCACATATACAAATTTTACTATGGGTATTTCATGTATGTTCTAAACTTATATGTAGATATGTGATAACAATATAAGTGAAATCTATGGCAACATCACTCTTGATATAGGGACATATATGTCATGTATTAGATTTCTGTATGGGAAACCGTATCAACCCCAGCAGATACATTTTGCTTTTTAACCAATTTGGTTAAAAAGCTGAAATGTAATTAGTTTGATCGGAGCTTCTCAGGTGTTATAGATGTCTGACAAGAGGCCACCTGTTTTAGCCAGGTACAGTGAATGAAGTTCTCGAACTGCTGCAGTGATGTAAAAGACTATGTTACACCCTGACATTGATGTTGTATGTGGTTACAGATGCAAGAAAGCCCACTTCCTGTTGATGTGACACTGGTTGTGTAAATTAGAGACAAAAAACGCTCTAAAATTGGCCCTTTTTATACTTCAAGTTTAAGTTAGTTCATTTTTTAAATAGGCAACAGACTGCCTTCTACTACTTTTAGGGCCAGCCGCACCTTCTGCAGCAGTGTGTTGCGGTTGACCATTTCAGATACTTTGGAGAGATGTGGTATAAATCTTTTCGCTTTTCTTTCTGCCTTCTCCTCTGAAGGTGGTCCACACAGGTGAGAAACCGTTCAGCTGCGACACATGCGGGAAGTGTTTCAGCAACACGGGCAACCTGAACAGACACCAGCGTATCCACACCGGGGAGAAGCCGTTCAGCTGCGACACATGCGGACGCAGCTTCAACCAGGGCAACAGCCTGAAGGCCCACCAGCAGATACACACTGGGGAGAAACAGTTTATGTGCGACAAGTGTGGGAAGAGTTTCTCCTACCTGAGGAACCTGAAGGACCACAAGTGTTTCTACGTCTGAAGCTAAACTAAAAGATGTCTGCCCTGGTGGCAGAGCAGATGGTCTAAGTTTCCTTGTGCCTGCTGAGAGATACAGGGATGGATGGGGGAAATAAAGGAATGAGTGTGCAGTGAAATAGTCAAAGGTTTAGGAACTTTAAGTGAGTAGCCTTTTGTCTTTTTAAATTGAAGGAATTTACCTGGTACAGACTTTCAGTGAATGAAACAGGTAAAACAGCTTGAACAGGATACCAGAAAAACATTTAAAACCAGAAGGAGTACTCATAACGTGATTGAAATTTAGCAGGATTTTACTGGCAGCTGTTAGATTCTAACTGATCTATAAAAGACAATGAAAGGGTGACTGATTGATTTTATTGAATTCAGCTTTTTTTCAGTATTTTAAACCATCTTATTTAAATTGTAAGTCAGATAGTGGTTTAAGCATCGTGAAGAGCACTTTCCTGCCTTTTTTCCAAACATTGTTTCAGATTATAAATAATTTACTGAAAATACAACTGTGAGTTTTTGGAAATAACGTTGCCTTGTGTGCATTAGAAGAACTGATATACTGAAACAGTTATTTTGTAAAAATGTTTCATCAGTAACTTTCCTGTGGAGTGTGTATTTGTTATATCTCAGCTGTGAGACTGAGTCAAATGGATAAACACTGAAATTTAAATCTTTTTTCTTTTATTGACTTGTGTAAGAAGCTTCAAGAATTTAAAATCTCTGTCTTTTTTAATGGTGTATCATCAATCAAAATCAAAGGCACACACAAGCACACTCAACAATTCAGTCTTCTGCCTTGTCGTCAAGCAAAACAAAACACAAACAAATCCCTTGTCAGCAGATTTGTGTAATTTTTCCTTCAGTTAATCTAATCTAAGACATGTTTTGAATGCATCTGTTGATATTCAAATTTACAGTGTATTCAGATTAGGGTGCAAATACATGAAAACCAAGAGCAGGCATGAAAAGCAAAGAAAGAAAGGAAAAAAAGGCTACAGAGGATAAAACCACTACAAAGGATGTCATGATGGGCTGACTGCTGTGAGAAAAGTCGTGAGCAGATAGAGGGTTTTCAGAGGAAACGAAGCTGATGAGCTGCTTGCAGTATTTGCAGTGCAATAATCTTGTAACATGAGGCGGGGCATTGCTGGGTGTGAGAGTGTATCCTCAGTAAGGGGTGATAAAGTCGATGAAGAGTAGAAGAAGCAGGTTGGCCGATCTCCTAGCTTGTCTCTGTGCTTGTTGACCCAGCAGCTGATGTAGAGAACACGTGCACAGGTGCAGTCCCACACGTTACCTGACAGACAGATAGAATTAAGCTTTCTCAAAGGCTCCAAGGTCCCATTCTCCACTGCTCTGAGCTGGTTGGACTTCAAACTCAATCTGTGGAGGTTTTTCAGTCCTTGAAAGACGTCACGCTGCAGGTGATCCAGCTTGTTTCCCTCCAAGTTTAGTTCTCTTAGCTTCGAAAGCCGGGCAAAGAGCTGAGGGTGTAAACTAACCAGGCTGTTGTTCATCAGATGAAGCCTGCGGAGGTTGTGGAGGAGATGGAAGGTGTTGAAAGGGATGTCATGGAGCTGATTGAAGCTCAACCTGAGCTCTTTAAGGCAGGTTAGCCTGACAAGGTCATCATGAGACAGCTCTGAGAGGCAGTTGTTGTCCAGATCCAGTGTTGTGAGATTTGCTAGATTCATGAACAGGCCTGTAGGAAGTTTGCCTATATTGTTTCCATTGAGTTTTAACTCCTTTAAGCCGACAAGGTCTCTGAAGTGGTCTGAGTGTAAAGAGGAGAGGTGGTTATGAGAGAGCCTCAGCGAATGTACCCTCACTAAACCTTGGAAGACTGAGGGATGTAGAGAGCTAATGTGGTTGTCATTGAGGTCTATCTCTCTGAGGTCACTCGTCCTGTGGAGAAGTCCATTGGGAAGGTGCCTCAGAGTGTTGTGATCCAAGTACAGGTTCTGTAGCGACTTGAGCTTGGTGAACAGAGCAGGATGGAGCTCCAGGATGTGGTTGTTTGACAGCTGTAACTCGTTGAGTCTGGACAGAGCATCAAATACCCCATCTGGAAGGGCAGAGATCTGATTGCTGTCCAGCTGCAGCTGTCGCAGGTTGGTCAAGTTACCTAATATGTCCAGAGGAAGAGACGTCAGTCTGTTCCTGTACAAATCAAGTACCTCGAGTTTGATCAGGTCACTGAAGACTTTTGAGGGAAGAGAATCTATGAGATTGGCACTGAGGTCCAGCTCACTCAGCATGGTCAGACCTCTCAGTGATGCCTCAGAAACAGTGGTCAGTTTATTGTTGCTCAAATCCAGATGATCCAACAGGCCGAGTGAAGAGAAGCAGTCGTCTGGAAGATTGATGATGCTGTTCATCTTTAGATTCAGAAACTTGAGCCTCTTTACATCGCTCAGTGCCTCAGCTGGAACAGTGACCAGCTGGTTACCACTCAGGTCAAGGTGTTTGAGACTTATCGCTCCACTAAAACCGGCCTCATCCACCCTCATGATTCTGTTATTTGAAAGAACAAGTTTATCTAATGCTGTGGAGTTTGTAAAAACACCCCCCTCTATCTCTGTTATAACATTATGGCTGAGGTGGAGGTCAGCAAGGGCGAAGGCCCCTTCCAGTCCACCAACCTGTAACCTGCTGATCTTGTTAAAATTCAGAAACAGTATCTTCAGGTTAACTAATCCACCAAGGAATCCGATTGGTATATATTCAAGCAGGTTCTCACTCAGGTCTAGTAATTGGAGAGCAGTGCAGTTTGGGAACTGACCAGCATGTAGAGACCTCAGGCCATTGTCACGTAGGAAGAGCTTGGACAGCTTTGTCATTTTGGGCCAAGGGTTGAGGGATAGGAAGACATTCAGCTGATTCTTAGTCAGGTCCAAGATCTACAGGACATCAGGAAGAAGAGTAGACTGGTGAAAAGTCTTTAATGTTTAATTGCGTAGAAATACCATAGAAGAAATCTTGATAATATAAGTGTCTTAGAAGACCAGGTAGGCATTAGGGTCTTTGTGTAAAAAAAAAAAAAAAAGATTACACTGCACACTGGAAATTTAGTTTTGAAAAGCTGCAGCAATTGATAATGGAATTCTTTTATGGTCACTCTAAAAGATTAAAGTAATAGATCAACATCTAGAGAAATATGCTTATTGGCTTCAAGGTAGCAAGTTAGATAAGATGATCAATACTAGTCTCACTATCTTAGCTTAGCATAAAGACTGGAAACAGGGAAACCGCTAGCCTGGATCAGTCCAGTGGAAGCAAAGGTTGTGCCTGAAATACTCACTCATTCAGGCCTCCCTTCTCACTCAGGGAGTTGGTTTGGTTAGTGACCATTGGTTGTACAGTACTTTCCACAATGCATTATGGGATATGGGATGAGTCCACCATCTGGGGTAATATAATTCTAACTACACATTTGGAGAGCACTACGAAGTGGCTAACTCACTATATAGTGGACTATATAGGGAGTGGTGAGTGATTTCAGACACAGCCAAAATCTACCTTCTAGTCCACTAATTAACATGTTATATCTGGTTTGTTTACTCTGTATGTTCGCTACTTTACACGGTCTAATTGGCCAGACTAATTCTTTGCTGCCCAAGAAATATTTGGGCAATAAATAGTTATTTTTACACACCTCAGTGTTTTTTGACCGATGAAATAAAAGAGATATAAGAAGCTGTAGATGGGGTTTGTTACTAGTAGACAGAGCCAGGCAAGTCGTTTCCTCCTGTTTACAGTCTTTGTGCTATGCTTCATATTTAACAGACAGATCAAGAGTGGTGTTGATCTTCTCATCTCACCCTCACCAAGAGAGTGAATTTGCATATTTCCCAAAATATTTAACTATCTCTTTTTAAGCTCTTAATTGTTTTGTATTTTTTACATAGCCTCACCTACTTGCATATTTATACTTGTTCAGAAACTTTACTTTTTGCACACTCAACTGGGTTGTAGATTTAATTTTAATTGGATAAAACTGCCATTTTCAGTGTACATTCATTAACCCATCGGGACAAAGTGAAAACATTTATAAATGTATAAAAATCAAGCAAGCAGTAGGGTCTATTTACTGAAGAGAACTGTCTGCTGCTGCATGAAACAGGGATGATAAATCTTTGTGGGTTTGTCACTGTGCTAACCCCGTTCATGTTACAGGTTGTCATTTGATTCGTTTCTGATAAAAAATGTCACTTAGTATGTGAAAATGTTTAATGTACTGCAAATCATATACTTAAATTCCATTGCCTTGAGTTTTTAGACTGAAAATCTTTCAGGCAGCCAGTGGTTCCCATTCACTATAGTATAAGACTTAAACTTAAAAGATGCCATTATTTAACCCTTAAGGTATGCTTTATATAATAATGGCCGGATAAAATATGCTGCAGGAAACTCCCTGCAGAGAGACATTTGAACACATTTACAATTTAACCTGGGACTTTCTTACTGCATGAGGAATAAGCCGATCTTTTTCTACTTTTCTTTTATTTTTCCGAAAGTGTCACACACAAAGTAGCTGTATGTTAGTTTCTACCTGCAGCTTCTCCAGCCCACGGCGGGGTATTTCCTGTATCTTGTTGTATGAGATGTACAGCTGCTCTGAGCCCTCTGGCAGCTCAGGGATCTGGTCCAGTCCTTTCTGCTGACATGTAACGGAAGTCAGGTTGTACAGACATTGGCAGGTTGGGGGGCAGAGGTCTGATGCCCACACCAAAAGGCTCAGGGAGGCCAGAGTTAACGCTGCCAGCATGGTTTACCACAGCAGAAAAAAAAACCTGGAGAATGGAAGAAATTAAACAGTGCAATATTGTCAATTAAAAAGTGTTTTATACAGCCAAATAATAATTAATTGTTGGTCAATTAAAATATTATTTTCAAATTGACTTTGGTTTTGGAGAACAAGATCTGAAAGAGAAATAAGTAAATTTTATGGTGGTTTTGCTTTTTTCTTGATCAACGATTTGCTGATTTGTGAAGGCACAAAGAAAGGTTAACATTTTTACAACACACTGACTGATGATCACTAGTTATTCAAGAAGTTCCTTTTGTATTGTACAAAGTATCAATCTCAACATTTTAAAGGACACTGCTTATTTATATATAAATTATATAACATAAATATATAGTATGAATTGTAATCTAAATAGCTCCAAGATTTATATTTTTAGGTGTGTTCAAAAGTGTGAAAGCGTTTTCAGGTGTTACTCTTGCTATGTCAGACCTTTGAAATTTGTAATTAAGACTTACCACTGACGAGAGGACAATGAAGTCAGGTTTAGTTGAAGGATGGTTTTGCTGAAAACTGAGTTTGCAGACTGTCTTTGCTGCTCTTTAAGCTCCATTTAGAGGAAGGTGTGGTTACCAAATGAGCTTTCCTAGAACAACTGCAAAAACAGTTGTTAGGTCAAACCAATGTGGTTATAGACCCACGTCTCTGACAAGAACATCACACAACTGCTTAGAGCAACAGAGAGATGGATCCATTTTTCAGTGGATCCATTTCCAGACAACTTCCTCTTATAGAAAAAGAGGGCTTATAATACTAAAATAATGATAAACTACCAAATACTCACATTTGAGAGGCTGAAACAATTAACTATTTATTAAAAAAAAGTTTGCCAATTTATTTGCTGTCATTTGACTAATTGATCTACTGATCATTTCAGCTCTACATAACACTGATATCAGTTTTACTTCACTAACTCAATACATACAATGAACAAATAGTAGGTGAGTGACTAAGACTAAAGGCAAGACAGTTTAATCAATAACCTTTATTCAGGCTGCAACTTATTATTATTTTCATGGTTGATTAATGTATGAATGTATGAATGTATGAATGTATGAATGTATGTATGTATGTATGTATGTATGTATGTATGTATGTATGCATTAATGAAAATATCCATCACAATTTCCCATTCCCACTTCAAATTGCTTGTATTGTTTTGTGTCCAATCAACGCTCCACAACTTATAATATTCAGTTTATTAGCACATGGGAACCTGGGACTAAAGTCAATATATGTTTTTTATTTTTAAATTAATGGATTATCAAAATATCATCATCTAAATTCTCAATCTAAAACACCTCACCCTCCTTTTAAAGCTTAAGACTTCTAAAGCAAGAAATGTATCAATGGCCTCATGCAAACCTTCATCTCTTCTGTTCACAACTCTCTTCACACACTCAAACATTATCACTGTCTATTTCCATTGTTGATTAAGCTTCAAACACAAAAATAATCTCTGTAAACGTGCTGCATGCCTGCAGTCTGGAGAAATGACGTGGTTGTAAATGTATTCATGTGCATTCATGTATGGAGTGGATCAATATGTGGACAGTGGTGTTGCACAAAATGGAGCATGATTGAGCCCATTAGAGAAGAAGGGCAATAACAGGACAGGGTTCCTGCTCACATGGTGCACATGGTTTCATGGCAAAAACCTATAATGTTTCTCTGGGAGATTAAATTTGTGACTCCAGCTGATTTAGCCCTGCTAATAGCAGGACCTAAGGGTGGCTATGTTCCTCAGTCTGGCTGTCAATCAATCTGTCCTGGCAACTGCTGACCAGATAATCTAAAATTTGGTGTGAATCACAGCTAAACATTCGGCAACTCCTGGTCTTTCCACCATCACCAACATCACATAATTTGCACATAATCATACACAAGGAATATCAAAAATATATTGGCAGATTCCCATAAAATTTACTGAACACATTCATGTTCCTCAGAGGATGAGGCAAACTCTTTACACTTCAGCTGTGTCACTTGACATAACATTAGGCCTCATAACCTTCCGTTGCAAGGAAACTTACTGAGCACATTTTATCCTTAAGATGATAAAACAAAAGTAGTCTAACTAAGCCAAAACAGTGGCCTATCAGAGCACACGCAGGTGCTGCTCTCCTATGGGTTCATACACCTGCCTATGAAACATGAAGAGGTCTGTCACTGACCTCATTTAAAGATGAGAGGGCTCCCCCTACTGGCTGTCTCTGGTAGTACCACTGGTTCAACAGGTTAGGTTACGTTTACCAATTTGAAAATTGGTCCACCTATCTGCTCCCTCAACCATTTAGGGCAGAGGTCACTAAAAGGCGGACTGGATCCGGACACGGTCCTATCCGGACCTGGAAGTATAATATAGTCTAAATTATTGAGAATTATTACATTTTGGGTTTTTTATAATATATTAGTACTGAAGGTGTGTTCAAGTAATAATTGCACAGTATTTTATTTTCGACTGTGTCATAAATTTCAATTCAATACTTAAATACTCAAATTGCCAGTTCCGGCAGGACTGGCAGCTGGTCTTGGTGATGACGTACGACACTGGTTGCCATGGAGAGCCTATATATTCTAGAAAGTCGTTCCAAGTCCACCATTTCACTCTAAGACACTGGGGAAATTCAAAACTTTCACTCAACGATATCTGGAAAAGCCAAGAAGTAATCAACGAAGAAAAAGATCCACGCTGACCACAGTTGACCTCTGTCACTGCTTTATCATGGGAAATGTGAGAATATAGGTAGTTTAAGAAAAACTTAAATTACTTTATGTGCAAGCCATTTTATTCAACGCCTCAACGACCCTGAGGCTTTGAATGTTCAAGAAATCCTGAGTGATTTTCATGCAGGGTCACGTTTGTTCAGGAGCATAATGTCAAATATTAAAGTCTTTGGCTTAAATAACTGAAATGTAAAGACAGAAGAAAGCCACAGTACAAATACTCTGGTATTATTGTATAGTATTATTTCTCCTATGTGAACTTTGCTAATTCCTGATTCTCCTGTGTCTCAGGTCTCCAGAGCCGGACCAAATATCTTGTTGTCTGCCCACCTGCCTGCTTCATCCTCCACTCTCCATTCATAAGCCTTCATTTGTTCCCCTCCTCATCCCAACCAACCCCTCCCTGACCTCAAGTTCCTGGATCATCTCCTCCACGCCACATCCTGTTACACCACGCCATAAGCCCTTCATTCCTGTCCCAGTTCATCGTCACCAGACCTCCCTCACTCTTCAGCCCTCCAGCGGCTCCCTGTGAAGCAGCTCGCCAGCTCCAGCCACAATTCCCCACACCACCCCCTTTCTCTGAAGTCAGTTTTCATATTAAATCTAGTTACAAACCTGCATTTGCATTCAGTGTCCGAGACACAGAACAGAATACCTGAGACTAGTTTTACAAATGCAGCTTAGTCTTTCTTGAGATTTTTTTTTTTTTTTTGGCATTTTGCATTTATCTGACAGTTAAAATGTGACAGGACATGATTTGATTCCCCAGCTGGGAATCAAACCCCAGATGTTAAAGATATGTAGTATGCATCCTTCCCATCAGACCTCTGTGGTGCCCCAAAAAATATGTGGCTTGGTCTTAAGTCATACTGACCACATACAAGGATCCAAGGCACTGACCATGAGGCTTTTCAGTCAGAGGGTGCTATCCAGTAAAACTATGGTGCAGGTAAAAATGTTAATATAGATAACATTGGGTTCAGTAGGGTGATGTGTTAAAGTATGTGTTCCCCCTCATTATATGACAGAAGCAATGCTTTGTTTAGCTTGTATGAAGTCATTTATAGATAAAATGAACTTGACATGTAATCCAATACAGTGTGATAATGATTTTATTGCCTGGTCTAAAATTGGACTTTATGTTGCCAAATCGATCCAGTGCTATAAGAGTGACATTTACAGTATGATCTTTGAAACTGGACGGTCAACTCTTGCTCTTACTACTTCACCAATAGATGGCAGTCTATTCTACTTCTTGGATGTCCCCATATGCGGTGTAGCGCTATTTGTTTAAGTACAGGAGCGCATCTAAATTTCTAAGTTTATAAGGTTATGTAACCCAGCCCCAGCCTGGGACACCTCTGGAAAACATGATGTTTCCCAAACCCCAATTTCACTATTTCATGCAAACAGATCTTATCCTACTTTAACAAGACAATTCCCCCTTTTCAACAGTTTATTTGCACATTCTACAGTTAATTTAGATAAAGAAATAAATGCATTTATTTTGGCAGTTTTTAATGTATTTGAATAAAGAAAAACAAAATTTGACAGATTTATTTGGTAGCACACAAGGTAAAATCACCATGAATCAAATGCTCACTAGAGATTCAGCAAATTCAATTTATAAAACAATGAACACAGGGTGAAGGGCTGGTTTTTCAAAAATAGTTAAATATCAGTGCTCAGTTATTTTAAAAAGCATTTTGTATTTGTGTGGTGTTTACTTCCCTTCAAATCCCTGAAAATGACATCAGTGTGTGCATTTCTCAGCTCAGTGGGCTGCCTGTTACACTGACTGTCTGCTGCATGGCTGGCTGAACAGCCACAGGACTGTACAGTAGGTCAGGCTGGTTGTAATCCATTCCAGATTACAGTCCAGGGCATCGCAGGAGGAAGTGAGGGGGATTGGCAAAGACAACACTCAGTTCAACTGGCTTCCTGCCAATTTAAAGAGCAGACAAGTTTGTGTTTTGATATTCATGTGAGAACAAGGTTGAATTTTTTTACACCTTTGGAGTGAGGATATTTTTAGAAAATGATTTCATTTTAGTAGGTATACGCTTCAAAAAAAAAAAAAAAATCAGGATGAATCTGCTTTTAGAAACAAATGGCCGGTGAGACTTCACTGATTTTACGTATCTCAGCTAAATCATCACGAGAGGCAGGAATCAATGAAAGAATGTCTCTAGTACAACTTATAAAAGCATGTAGAGTTTCAGGAGATTCATCAATAAATGTGTTTCAGCCCACTGGATTGAGTTGTATTTCAGAATTAGAATAATGTGAGAGGTTTAATGTTCAAATCTGCCATATGAAGGTGAGGATGGAGGTGAGGGTCTGGATGCGGACATTAATTACTCAA